ACCTCTCGCAAAATGCGAACCAGAATACATATTTTCAGTAATACACTCTGAAATTATAGACTCATTTCCAGACACCTTTGCTCAAAAAGAAACCCATTTGTCGGCACACTGAAAGTGTCCCTTCCCGGCATCATAACGAATACGATCGAAATTTATAATTTTGTGTGTGAGAACAATAGTTATAGTCGAAGAGTCCCGTAAACTTGCTACGCCAAAATTATCTGGAGGTAACGGTGAACCCATACAGCGAGTATTTTGCCTACTGTAGCAAATTACCTTCTGGGAATTTATCTGACATATTTTCGATATAAGTTAATAAGAACAATTAAATTATTTGATAGTGTTTGATAACCTGGTTGGAACATCGAACCTAAAAGAGGGTATATTGGTTTAATTTGGTAAAGTTACTTACTTTTGCTAATCAGTAGCAAACTGCGTGAACATGTGAAAACATAACTTATTATTATTGTACCATTGCCAAGATTTATTGTTATTTCTATTTCATAGATTAGTGAAATGTTTATTTTTATTTAAAGCATGTGTTCATATATTAACGCAATGTGGACGGTTATATGCGATAAGAAGCAAACTTTCGGGCTTTGCCCGGAGCATTTAAAAGCAATTCCTTTTCGCAGTGGGTATTCGTGAAGGTGGGAATAGCATACACAGGCGTAGATCTTTAGTCAAAAATCGTATAGGGAAGTTCAAGAACACAAAACAAATGATTGACAATGATTTGCAAAACAGTCCACGAGAAAATAAGGAATTGGTCAGTTACTTCGGCCTGGGGGGGGGTCGGTGGATCAGTAGGGGGGTTATCCTGTTTTTGATTGTGCGAAGACGGGGATCACCCTGTTTTTTATATCATAGATAGGGGGGTCACCATGATTTCCAGAATTCACACACGCGCTCATGCATATATTTTTTTTAATTTTATTTCAGAACAAACGATAAAAAAGTTAATCGTACAAATGTGTTCTTAAGAATAACTATTACCTATATTGCCTATAAATTTGTTGATGCAAAAAATGTTATAGGCTAAATATTTTGAGGTTAAAGTTGCCAAATAACTAACAGATTATGCAATGCGGCTAGAACCCAATTATACAGTTAAGTTTTAAACACTTAAGTCCATGTGCTGCTGGTATCAGATTATTTTATTTAAAGTCTGAAGTCACCATTGTATAAGATATTTACTGGATTTATCCAATTATAACAGGAGATGGAAAGACAACACAGCAAGTAGTACAAAGAGCAGTGACAATTTTTGTTCAGCAAATCAAAAAAGTTAAATTTGTGAAAATGCTGATATATAAATTAAAATAAATGATGAAAAAATAAATAAATAGTTTTTTTGTTTTTTAACTTTTAATATGCATGTTTTGCTCTGTAAAATACCAAAATCCAACACAAATTTAAGCAAAAATCAAAGTTTCCTTTGTTTTCATAAGCACAGACTGTGCTTCGGGTGTAAAGTTTTCCTGGTATATAAGATATGAAAGATATTTTAAATCCAACTTAGTTTTCAAAGAGTTCATCAAACCGCCTAGATTCAAATCCTCTTTTCATATCTTATAAGGGCGTTTATCGAGTGAGTACTCCACAGCTTTGCTTTTATTTACTATCTTTAGCAGCATAGATTTCCCTCCTTCCTGCAGCCTTTTCTGTAGTAATTTTTTGGCTTTTGGCTTTATGCTTCCCCTCCCCTCCTAAGGTCTATTAAGTGCAAACGCTAAAAATTATGGCAAACCATAATATTTTCAATGCACATATAATACATTTTGTAATCATGTCAGAGCAAAAACTGTTAATATTTGGGGAGGGGTCAGCATGTTTTAAAATGTAATGTGCGGGGTGTCACCCACTTTTTTTATTTTATAGGGGGTGGGTCAACTGAGATTTACAGCTGGCAAAATGGAATCTGCCGACCCCCCCCCCCCCAGGCCGAAGTAACTGACCAATCCCTAACAGTATGAGAAAGATATGTGCACATTTTATACATGTAGTGTTGTCAGATGTTTCGAAAAATTATATACTTTTCTGAGTCATAATCAAATATTTGCGTTAAAAACCTGGTGTCTACATCATACGAAATCAACTGCGCAACAGTGGTATTATATTCAACCACAAATTCCATCATTTGCCAACAAACTTAAAATTTTAAGGCAAGTCGTTCTCTATAAAAAAAAAAACTTTGCTTTAAATAGTTTAGGCGAAAAAAGACAATGTCTTTTTGAAAATAGAGTGGGATATTGCTGTGTGTAATATTGGTCTGGTAAAACACAGAAGATTCTTACTTAATCTCAAGTTTTGCTATGGTATACTATTGGAATATATTTACTGCATTCAAAGATTAATTCGATTGCCAACACAAATGGGCGACATTTTCGCCGCATTCAAAAAAGCAAAAAACGCAAGTAATACATGCTTTGTTAATAGGCATGGACGCGAATCAGTTCTTTCAAAGATTCACTAATTTCTGGACTTCTTCAATTAGCGAGAAATCTTCATCGCATATCACTCACTTGCATGCCGTGATCTTATAAATCCCTGATAAACGTTTGTACAGTAGAATATATCCCATAATCCTTTGCCAGAACATAAATAAATAGTGCATTGACGCTGCAGGTCGGCGTCTTCTACACCGATCTGACGCATATCGCGCAATATTTGCCGGAAGTTTGTTCGAAATTTCGAACGTTTCGAAGTCTATCGTCGACTGGCACGTATTTTACGGATATATTAACTCGTTTAAGGGGTCTGTTTACTAAATAATGATAAATAAACCTTAGAAAACTTGTAAGAACAAACTGGCCCCAAAATTGCGCAAATTTGCAATAAGTTTACGCTGCTAGTGTCTGGTTCGGAAGGCGTTCTACGCGTGATGTTATTGCGCTCAAGGACGTTCTATTTCCGAACTATTTGAAACCGGAAATTACGCGGGTACTTTCGAACTTCAAACACAAATTTGATTATCGTTATTATGTGTTAGTTTCTGTTGTTTCAAAGATTGAATTATTTGTGACATTAATATTTCACTCACTAAACAATATTTCACAAAAATATGTGATTAAAAAGCAACTTAAAATGGAAAACCAAGTATCAAGTTCCGTGTATAAACACTAGTGTAAAGAGACGGCGGAGCGCTATTTTAGCCCAAATCGGCTAGTAAGGCGTCATATGACACAGGGGTGTGTTCAATCTCCTTCCCAGAGAGAGGCCTTTGCGCTTTACGCAATAGTGGCTTGAACGGGTTCGATTTTCCGCGTCTAACAGTCATAGAACACAAAGGTTCTAGTAAGTTTATAAAGTTAGTTATTTATTGTACATTATAATGCTTTGGCATCTAGGAAATTCTTGCACTTTTCTAAAGCAAGTCTTGTATATTTTATTCTAATTACTAAACATTTTATTCGGATTCAGGGCGTGAAACGTCTTAAAGTTAAAGTGATTAAAGTAACCAAGTGACTTTCGCATAACTTTGTTAACCGCCAAGGTCTTGTAGTTCGAACATATTCGAATATGCAAATGAGTTCTATGCTTTGTGCAGTGATGATAAGTAACGCGCATCGAACTGTGCGGAGTTCGGGGTGTGCTGGGACAGCGCTTCCGATGACGACACCGTGACAACGTAAATAGTGTGTTCGAACTGCGTTCTACGCGTTCTGCTCGATTCCCGTCGTAGTGACGTCACACTATTGTGACGTATTCTATTTCTGGCGTACGTTCTAAAACATGTGTGTAATTTCGCCTTCGCTTTGGTTTTAGTCGAATTATTTCAATTTTAAGTGTAACCAGCACACAGCGCAGTCTTGAGGTGAGAGTTACTGACATTTAATTCACTGTGACTATTTGGGTGTGATTGTTTGTGACTCGCGTAGTAAATCGTGTTCATTACAGTCGTAACCAATATTGTTTATACTGTCGTTTTTTAAGAGTACTACATCTTGTTTGACTTCGCCTTGATCCACGGTTTTCTATATGATTCGATGAATTTTGAAATTTGAAAATATGCTTTAATTCAGGATAAATCTTGATCGTGGCATTGACTTTCTCATCAAAGTCAGACTTGTTTGTAGACGTAGCCGAGTCGACAAATAACACGCGTTTTACGGAATAGTAAGCAAGGAGGACTACTTCGCTGATTACCTTTTTTTTTTAACTGTGATTCATAAGTGAAAGGAAGTTAAAAAAACAGTTATAGTGAGGCACGTAACGGCAGTTTTTTTTCTTAACGTGTGCAAACACTCATACACACAACACTTACAACAGCCAACATTATTGAGAAACACTTCTTTCTTATGAATCCCGCCCTGAAATAAGCATTAAATGTAATACGTCGACGCCCAACGTTTATTAAATATACATGTATTTTATTTTTGTTTTGCATTAGAACGAACTATACATTGGACAAGACGTCTGCATCGACGAATAGGTGAGTTACACACTTCAAGTTGGTTACACGCGAAGAACAAAAACAAATTAATTTGCAAGTTCCGCCTTGCGAGGGCAATATGTCTCACCAATCGCCGCGTTCGCCCAAAGCGCATAAGAGATACTGCACTACTATTCTGTTTTGAATTTTTGATTAGGTTTTCATATATAACTTTCTGTTTTACCTAGTAATTTATTTCAACCGCGGTTGTTCGGTTCCACTGCAGCACCGAACAAACTGATAGAAACATTTAAAAAAAAAAGCAACTCTAAATAATGGAGTGTACTTATAGCTAATGGCACAGTCTATACAACCATGCTGCAATTAATTGCCGACAAAAAAAAACCGATTCGCATTTATTAGAAAATTTCTCAAGATTTTCTCTTTATATATATAAAGTTCAATTTCAGCAATCCATACCAGTCTAAAATTCGTTATCGCTACATTTTTAGAATTAAAGTTGAGTCACCGATAATCTTCAAGACATAGCAAACACTTGTTGATCACCAGGACTGAGCATGCGCGAAGTTACGTGTCAAAGGGCAGGTGTAGCTTCTTAACAAAAAAATACGTCTGGGATAGTGTTTTTTATTTAATATCTTCACATTTGAGAGTTGTTAAATATACATTATTTGTATTCGTTGAACTTGAACGGTACTTTTGCCGTATGGATTGAATGTTAGATGCTGTATACGTCGGTTTCGTCTAAGATCGTACGGTACCATGTAAACAGTGTATTCCCACCATAACAACGAACTTAATAATAAGCACGATAGTACACAGGTGTTAAGAAAGTAGTTCTCTGCCGAATAACGTTTGAATATTGCATAGTGGCATGTTTTATTTCTTGTTTAAGTTGTATGTAAATGTAATTAACACGACAAGGCAGCTACGTTTCAAATATTAATTATTTCATCTAATTTATTTATCAATATTTATTGCAGGCGGAAGGATTCGCCTGAGGGTGCCCGGTCAACCGGCTCTCCTTATAGTTTGAAAGCTCCGTGGAGCAAGGTAGCAAAACAACTTCTAACGCCGAGCGAAGTCAAATTAATCAAAGGTACTTTGAAAAAAACGAAAAATATGCCGCCGGTGAGAAAACCCGGTCGAATTATCCGTCCAGCGTCGGCGACGGCCAAATTGGAATCGTATATCCCACCTAGCGTCTTGGACGATGTGAGGCCAGCGACCGCCGCAGCCGGGTTATTTACCGGCGAAGGACAATCAACATCATCGTCGAGAGGGGCACAGGGATCCTCCTTAACCAGACCGGGGACACAGTCCGCTTGGGCGTCAAGATCGAGGGATGATATTCCAAAACCCGACGAACAGCCACGGCGACTGACCCTTAGCTGTGTTGATGGTTTAGCCGAACGACCGGAAACAGCGGCAGCACGGGCCAGATTGGCAACACCTGGGGGTTCTTTTGGGTACAAGGTTAGTGCCATTTCAAGTCACCACAGTAACAAGAGATTTTATACCATTTCGTCATATTTTATAACATTCATGAATATAAACCGTCGCCATTCATTTTGACAATGTTATTGTTACCATGCTGATAATGAGATCATCTTCCATGTCCATTTTGACAACAATCAATGGAACCGACCTCTATGTTTCCCCCACTTTATCAGCTGTGTTCTCTTCTATATTCCACGCTATGCTCATTTCCGTTCTGTTCACTTATTGTGTATTTACGTTTATTAATTCAATTTCTGAAAGACAATTTCATGCTTGGCCATGGAAACCATGTTATTGCTTCCCTTTTTGCTGAAAACGTTTCAAAATGGCCGCCCGCTTAGTTCCGATAGTTTTATCAGACGCATATAACTCAAATTTAGATAAAATAAATTACACGTACTGTTTAAAATAATATTTAAAAAAGCAAGCTGTTAATGAAAAACTACACACATTAAAACCATTAAGAGCTTCATAATAGAGCCACTAAAATACATTTGCTACATGCTGAGGTTATTTAAAACATTGTATCAAATTGGTCTAATAGCTAAACCATTTACAACTGTCATTTAAGTATTCTAGTCCATATTTGTTATACAGCACATACATATATATGTACCAAAGCGATCGAATACATAATAAATTTCTAAAGCAATATTTACTTATTATTTATTAATCTTTAGAATGTGATTAATTATTTACTGGATGCTATTAAATATGTATATTGTGCTGTGATACAAATTGTTTATCCTTCATCATTTTGAATTCTTTGCACATACTTATAATGCATTGTGTATACAGATACAAATGTTTGTTTATTATTTGTGTGTGTGTTATTGAATCACTTGAATGTTTGTTTGATAAACAAATTTATGTAGTACTGATACTACTCATATGATATCAACACACTGACACACATTTGAGAAAAATGTATGATATTTATAGTTTTTTGTTTTTTAGTTTTTGTCAAATTGTACTTTGAAACAGAAACTTATATTTTGTGGTCCGTCCATTTGTTCGTTCGTCTGTTGTCATTTCTCAGACATGCTTGGGCTGATTTTGGTACACGTATAACTTACAATGAAAGATAAATGCTCATGACGTTTTAACTGTGATGGTCTTTCTGCATCCAAAAAAACAGAAATCACAAAATATCATCATGTCATCAAACACAACTAATCTAGGAAGTACATGTAGTAAATAGATACTGCTACATAATCCTTGATTGTTGAACATAAAATTAGGATGCCATTCGTTGATTTGATGACACCCTAGAAGGCGAAAACCCAATCACAACCAACTGCTTGGCTATTTGCAATGCTACATTTACATAGTCAACTGCTACATTTACATAGTCACTGCTGGTATGTTATTATTTGAACTGTATGGGTTGTGTACACTTTCATCTAGTAAATATTAAAATAAATCAAAGATGACATTTGTGTCATTCATTATATCATTACAAGAAACCACAACAATTATTACCGGTAAATGTATTCAGGCCGAAATTAAATTAAAAATTTTGCATTAAATGCTATTTTATTTGTAGAAAGTCACGATTTAACTGACCATTATTATTTGTAGTTGACACTATGGTTGCCTAGTTACAACTTAAGGGCATAACTGGATGGGCCGTTTATTACAAGTTTAGTATTATTAATGTTTTGTAGTTTATCATATTGTACAATCGCTATTGTGTCACCAACACTTTTATAACAATTCAACATTAACAAGTGTGTGGTCTGTTAGAAGGGATGGACCAATGAAGTCGTAGAGGGCTTCTTCTATTGGTGATTTTCAATGTTGCTAAGGATTGTCTCTGATTGGATTGAGATGTTAACATTTTTTAGGGCTGAGATACAAATTTTACTAAATCTTGTCATTTCCATAGAGACCAAATAAATATCATTCTGAATATATAATTCTCAAAATATTAAACCCAGCTTGCAGTTTTTAGGATGCCGATTGAATTATCTTCAATATGTTGTTCCAAAAATAAAAAAATGTATTTCGAATTCTTTTCATGAAATATTATTCCAAATGCTGTATCTTCTATATTAATAGTGCATATGGTTATGTAAATGATTCTATGGTCAAAATAGACAATATTTTAATGATTCACTATATAACCAATGTGATTTTTGATCCACTTTGAATAGAACAAATATGGTAAACTGTTCAATTTTGAGAATTTTGCATGTGACATTTTCACAACTACAAATTTTTACTATGTTACAAAAATAGAAAAACTTGGTTTACGGTATGTCACATTACGGATAGCTGTTTGTCTTCTCTGTCCTCTAAATCACCATTGGTTGACTCCTGAAATCAAACACCAATTGTCAATCATTGTAGTATTTTCCATGAAGTAGTTTACTGTATTTCTGTTGTAAATGTCTAATTGTTGATCAAACCAAATAGTAGTTTTCTGATGACAATGAAATATTACAGTCAATTTCATGAAGGTGTTATTTTTTTTTTTTTTTATAAATTTTAGATGATAGTTGAAAACTTGACCAATCACAACACATTACTGAATGCATGGCAATAATTGTAGCCAATGAAAGCAAGTTTTTTTTGGTTTGAATGAAACCCAAGTCTAGCAGGATAAATGTTTTATAAATATTTTATAAATTTCTATAAAAACATTCATGGCTTAGTAAAATTCACTGTACCAGGTAGTCTAAAAAAAATCAGGCAAAAATCAAATAAAAATTAATATATTCTACAGTAGCAATGGTATAATGAAAACTGCTTTAATGATACGAGAGGAAAATGTTCGTTAATTTCTCGTGTCATTGAAAAGTTTTGTTGCAGGGAACATTTCAGTCTCAGGTTTTGTCAACATTTCTTTTCAAAATGTATTTTAATAAATCATCAAATCACAAACATTTATAGCATCAAATAAGTTTATAAGTAAGAGTGTAAAATTCATGTCTCAATCTATTGTTTGTACTTACACTGACTGTAGAATGAACTTTGTAGGAACGTGACATTTTTATACTCTCACTTGACTGCATTCACTCATTCAAACATTACTAGGACACAAAATGCATTATTCTTAAACTTGCAAAGTTGTTTTTCTTCGATGACATTGATTCACTTTAGACAGTTGAAGTTTGTTAACACATACATAGAATGTAGCAACCCCATACTTCACTCCTAACAACAACGTTAGCAACTGTTACAAAAGTGAAATGATTTTGGGTTGGGGTCTTTTGTAAGAATGTGCCACAAATATTTTTTTGTTAGATTTAGCATTCTTTCTTTTACATGCACAGAAGTAAAAATAAACAATTTCTTATCTCACAAGTTTTGATCAGAATGTTCACTATATTGATTTCATGTTTTAAGCGCGGTGGTCGTCACGCAGCGCGTGTTCGAATATCATGTAAATAAACAATGTATTTTACACGCGTTGTATATGTCGCTATGAGTCCCATATCGAACAGGACACGGTGCGATGACTGTCGCCCTTTAAAATCAAAAAGACAAGTTATACACACTTAAATGTTGCGGAAGGAATTTAATAAGTTGAGATGTAGTGACTGTATGTCACCTTGGTTTGTATCCCACTGGCGAAAAATCCAA